GTCCGTTCTTCGCTCCCTTCGTAGTGCTTCTCTCTCGTATTCCACCGATCCAGATCTGATCGCCCTCCAAACGCTGAGAAGAAAAGTTAGAAAAAAGCAGAGATTTTAACCGAAACACAACGTAATGGCGGTGGTATCGCCTCTGGCCAAGTACAAGCTGGTGTTTCTCGGTGATCAATCGGTCGGAAAAACCAGCATTATCACTCGCTTCATGTACGACAAATTCGATACTACCTATCAGGTATGATCTAGATTTCTTTCAATGCTCGCATTACTCCATTAGAATGCTTTCTTCTCAAATTCGCGTTAAAAACAATTCTCCGGCTTGTCGTGGGATGAAGGTAGGTCATGTGTATGTACATATTTTCATTTTCATATTCTTTTTTTGTTTCTAACGTAAATGTAGGTGGATCTTATTTTCTCCTATGCTCCGTGTTTAATTTTGAAGTATTTAGATATTTTGATGAAGCGGATCAAGGAGTTCCTGTTCAGCTGTATGTTCTCATATATGGTTAAGAAAGAATTCGAGTGTTTGAAATTCAATTACTGTTTGTACAACCATAGAAGGATAGATTGCCAATTGCCAATTGCCAAATCAATACATTATATATAGGATTATTTTGAAATGTTTGAATTTAAACATGTAACTAGGTAATTTTGGTGTAGGCCAATGGTCTTGTGGTCTAGTGACACGAAGTGACTCTCCAAATGGGAGGTCATGGGATCGTGTTCTAGTGGAGACAGTATTGACTCTTTGTACTTCAATAGGTTAAGAAAGTAGATATGAACATATACTACATTGTAACAAGAGTCAATAGTACTAAAAAAAAAAAAAGTAATTGTGGTGTACTTGCATATGACTTGCGGAGTATGAGATTAGTTTCTCAACAAATGATGCCTATTTAATTCCTAAAAAACAGTTATTGTTAATTTTGGTCCATGGACTATAATCTTCTTCCCACATTTTATCCAGAACTATTAATCTTATCACATTTGGTAGACAAGTATGATTTTCTTGTCACGTTTGGTCTTATCGACCAAATAATTTTCAACCATTGACCGGAAAAGTTAATTTTATTCTTGTTTGGAAAAGCTTCAAGGACAAAGTTGTCCCTTCAAATCTAAATATACACTATTATTACTAAAACTTCCAAAATTGCCCGAAATGTGAAGCTTCTTGTGATTTTTGGGTGTAGAGTGGCAGAAGAAAAGGGTTAAGTTCTCTACATTTCCTTCAATTTTGGGGTTTTCTTTATAAAAAAAAAAAAATAGTGACAGTAGTGTGTATTTAGATTTGGAAGGATGACGTGCCTTTGAAGTTGTCCGGTAAGAGAAAAATTAACATTTATAGCTGGTGGTTGCCAAACATTGGTTTGCAAGACCAAATGTGGCAAGAAAAGCGCACCAAATGTGGAAAAGATTAATAGTTGGGATCAAATGTGAGAAGAAGATAAAAGCTAAGGGCCAAAAGTGGCAATAACTCCTAAAAGAAGTATTAAGATGGTGGGCTGTGTTATCTTAAACACATGAAGACTCACTGCAAAATCACGCAGTCAAACTTACATTTGTCACGATTTTGAAGCTCTTCCTTACATTTTTGTTACAACATGCAGGCTACGATTGGAATTGATTTTTTATCAAAGACAATGTACCTTGAAGATCGAACAGTTCGCTTGCAACTCTGGTAGGGTTATCATTTATTCTTAACAGGCAACATATCTGAGTCAGTGCATATGTTGATTTCACAGGACACATTTTAAAAGCTAAATAAAATATCAACAGACACGCAAGTATTTAGTAGTGTACATACTCTTTGTGTGGGGGTGTCCGTGTGGTTTTAGTTCTGTTTTTATTTTTTGGGTTCCTGCCAAGCCTTTTAGCATGGTCAAGATTTACAATTTCACCTTATATTCTGCTTTCCTGCTGAACATAGTCATACATTTATATTGAATGGACTGAAGAGAACATATAAATGAAAGTTCATACTGATTGATCATTAAGAGATTGGTGGTGTACCCTGTGTTCATAAATATAATTAAATATTACTCCATAGTCTTCTTAACATTTCATTTCCAACTTCATACAGGGATACTGCTGGCCAGGAGAGGTTTAGAAGTCTTATCCCAAGTTATATAAGAGATTCTTCTGTTGCAGTGATAGTATATGATGTTGCAAGTGAGTTACTAATTGAAGTGACCATGCTAAAGATTTCTTTATATTTCTCTGTTTTTGACCTACTCAAAATTTTTTTGAGGACAAAATCTAAAAAATTTTAATTAATGCAATGTTTTCTTTTGATTAACATATCTATCTCTTTGTACAATTTTACCCATCAAATGTGACAAACCATAGTTAATAGACAAACCATCACGTTTGCAGACCGTCAATCATTTTTGAACACTTCAAAATGGATTGAGGAAGTACGCACTGAAAGAGGCAGTGATGTCATTATTGTTCTTGTTGGGAACAAAACTGATCTTGTTGATAAAAGGTCAGTGGTTTCTCTTTTTATTCCATCTTTCACAAGTGTATTGCTAAATGATGAAATAGATTTGTGCTTCATTTGTATTTTCATTGAAGTTGATGTACCGTTTGTACGTCAGTCAATTGTGGGTTCTTTGATTTTCATCAACTTTGTTCTCTTCTTCGAATTCTGCCATGATTTCCTAGCTGAAAGTTGCATATATCAAATTATTTATATGATTGGTGCCCATTGTTTACTGCTTTTGAAAATTTTCTTGCAATTTATAACTGTCTAAACATTGAAGAGCACAATGCACCTTGCAGATTAACTGTAAATCTGTGGAAATATGACATTCTTTTGCCGATATCAGCTTCAATTTTCTGTAACCTCTTTTTTCTGTTCTCATGCTTTCTCCCTTTTATTGATATTTGATAGCATGCTATTGCTTGCTTCCATTAGAAAAATTGATCTAAAAGAACAAAGAAATTGTATTGAAAGAAAAGATACAGATTGATCACATTGTTTTTAATTCTGTCTCTTAACATATACTCCATATCATTTCTCAGAAATCTTCTATGATGATTCTGCTATTTAAACAGGCAGGTTTCAATAGAAGAAGGCGATGCCAAGGCTCGGGAGTTCGGTGTCATGTTTATAGAAACCAGTGCTAAGGCTGGATTCAATATCAAGGTAAAGTTACCTTAACTTATGACCTCAAATACTGACCTTTGGTAATGTTTGCCTTTTGGTGGCATAAAATGTGAATTGCAAACTCCTCTCTCTCTCTCTCTGTGGCTTGGGTCATACATGAACATTTGAAGTCCTTAGTTTCTTTAGGTAGATAAATGTTGACACAAAAAAGTGCATGAATACACAAAATCTCAGTTTGGAGTTCCATTATGCAGCCTTTGTTCCGTAAGATTGCGGCTGCCTTGCCAGGGATGGAGACCCTTTCGTCCACAAAACAGGAAGATATGGTTGATGTGAATTTGAAGCCCACCACAAATACTAATTCTGCAGAGCAACAAGGGGGAGGTTGCGCATGCTAGAGTTTGTACTTTACATGGAAGAAAAAACAAACTAAAGAAAAAGAAGTTCGAAATACTAAAAACTTAGGGCGTTCAATTAGATACACTATTATTATTACTATTATTGTTATTCAAGATGTGTTTTGGAACAGGTTTGAATGGTCTTCTAGGTAGCTGGCAGTCTGCTATAGGATACCAAGTTGGAGGCGTCCTTAATGTGGTTGTTACTATGAAACATGATTCACAATTTTTGTTTATTGTCCGGATGAAACCAGTTGTCCTGGTTTGCTTTTGATGGTAAGATGAGCAAGTTTTAGTTTGGCGCAAATATTCAATATCCCTGTTAGTTTTATGACTACGAGGGTAATTAGTTGGCGAGCCAACATAACAGAAAAACCGATTGGAATGCTGCCAAAAAAAATATTTTATTGCCTTGTGTGTGATCAAAGGGCTTAACCCTTGTTCAGGGCACTAGCAACGTATTTATACATGAAGATTGAGCCTTTGGAAGGCAAGAAACTGATCTAAACTAGGTAAGCAAATTAGTAATAAATGCATACAATTTCTTTCCTAATTGTTATGGGATCTTCTCCGATCTTCTACAAGATCCGCCCAAGATCGTTTTTATATTTGGTAGTTTTCTTTCACGTTGGAAGATGAACAAATCCTTTATGAATAACAGGTCCACTGTCGCGCCGACCTAGTCTCCAACTGAACAACTTCTCTCATCCATTTGCTTGATTATCTCACCCGGTTATCCGCCTAATTCCTCCATCTGATCCTTCGTTTGACTCCTCTACTTGTCCGTTTTTTCGTCCGACTACCATACTCATCCTTCCATCCGCATGGCTGGCCTACTTGTCCATCCATTTGCCCGACTGCCCTATTCGTCCATCTGGCCACCTAACTCCCCCACTCATCCATCAAGATGCCTGACTCCACTACTCATCCGTGCATCTGCACGACTCTCCTACTCATCTCTTTAGCCGCCTAACACCTCCACTCGTCTATCAAGCTACTTGACTCCCCTTCTCATCCGCCCATCAACCCGACTCCAACATTTGCCCCGCTGCTCGATTCCTCTTAATTTCCCCCGTCCTCCACCCATGCGCACCTCGATTCATTCCTTCCGCCTTTATCCAGGCTTCCTCCTTGGCTAGCCAGGCTATCACACCTGACTGGGTATATATCCTTATCCATCATCTAGTCTCTCACTTTGTCGAGATTCGACTAGTAGATGGCTCGGGAAAGTACCTCTAATCCTCTCAAGGTCCAGCCCTCAAACCTGAAATTCCAGAATTTAGAATTTCTTTTTCAAGGAGGAGCGATTGATTGAGCGCCGACACATTTTTCAGGTCTCCAATCGACCTTCAAACTTCAAATTGTCTAAACGCCCGGCCGAGTCATCCGATGCCTCCACCTCCAAGAAGATCAAGCTTGGCTTGGAGGTCGAGTCCGAGGATGCCATCGTCAAGGGGAAGTTCCTAGTCTTTGATTGGGTGGAGAATGTACTCTTCCCCTAGGACCAGGCGCTATGGAGGAGGCTCCCACCAACAAGCCATTGGAGTCCATCTCCTACTACAATACCTTTTTCTTAAGGATATTCATCTTCCGTCTTAGTCTTCTAATCTTGATTTCTTTTCGTTGCAGTTCCTCATGTTCCAAATTGCGCGCAGCACTCAGATCTTCCAACTAGAATCTACTTTGGAGGCGGAGCGGAAGAATGTCAAGCGGCTGATGTTGGAGGTGGAAACTTCCCGCCGAGAGGCCTTGGACGAGTACAAGGAGTCGACCGTTTTTCGGGAGGATGTTATGGTAGAGGCTCGCCAACATCTGCAGGAGTTAGCCATGGAGTGGTTGGGCACGCCTGATGGGAAACAGTACCTGATTGACTCTGGAGATAAGGACTACCACTCAGGTGCACAAGATATGCAGAAGAAAATTTATGCAGTGCTTCTAGCCCGAGATCTTACTTTTGTGCCCGAGGAGCAAGGCTTTCCCGAATGGCTGGCTGACTATGAGCCCCGAGTCACCATTCATACTACCCCCACTAATCACCAAGGGGGCGAGGACACTGAAAAAGTCACCTCGGAAGGCGCAGGCGACAATTCAAAGATCCCGGTGGATCCTGCATATTTGGACTTGGCTGTTAACCTTACAGCTTCGGCAGCGATAGATCACGCTCTGGTCCCCCAGGTACTTGACACTGAACGCCAGACTATTACCAACTTGGAGGAAGAAGAGGATCAATCAAGCGCCTTGCAACTTAACCGTACCCAAGGCGAGGCAACCGACTTTGTTTCACTTACTAAGCCATCGGAGATTGGAGCAACTGAAGCCCCTCAGGTAATCTTCCCTTGGGACCAACGCGCCATAGAAGAGGCTCCTGCCGACACGTTGTTGTAGTCCATTTCCTACCATAGTACCTTTTCTCAAGGCTATTCCTCTTCTGTCTTAGTCTTTTAATCTTGATTTCTTTTCGTTGCAGTCCCTCATGGCCCAGGCTGAGCCCTGCCAAAAACTCAAGCCTCTCTTGGCCAACGCTGAAGCCATCCAGTGGGACCCCGCTTACCGTGCCAAGCAAATTGACAACTTGAACCTTCAGATCGACCAATTGATATCTACCTTGGAGGCGGAGCGAAAGAATACTGAGCGACTGATGCTGGAGGTGGCTACATCTCGACAAGCGGCCTTGGACGAGTATAAGGGGTTGGCCGTTTTCCGAGAGGATGTTATGGCAGAAGCTCGCCGACATTTGCAGGAGTTAGCCATGGAGTGGCTGAGCACGCCAACTGGGAAACAATACTTGGTTGACTCTAGAGAGAAGGACTACCACTCGGGTGCAAAGAATATGCAAAAGGAAATTTATGCGGTGCTTCTAGACCAAGATCCTACTTTTGTGCCCGAGGAGGAAGGCTTTCCCGAATGGCTGGCTGACTTTGAGCCATTGGTAGTCACCGTTCCTGCTACCCTCGCTAATCACCAAGGGGTCGAGGACACTGAAAGAGTCACCTGTGCAAGCGACAATTTAGAGATCCCGATAGACGTATCTGGACTCGGCTGCTAACCTTACAACCTTGGCAAGGATAGATCACGCTCCAATTCCCCAGGTACCCATTACGGACTTGGAGGAAGAAGATGATCAGTTAAGCGCCTCGCAACTTAACCGCAATTGCCGCAGGGCAACTGACTTCATTCCACCTACTGGACCATCAAAGAGTGGAGTGACCGGAGTCCCTCAGTCTAGAGCTTGACTATATCCCATCAATAATCAATAATATAATAATAATAAATAGGAGGCACATCCGATAGCTTATGAGCTTATCTACAAGGGAACACCGAAAAGTGTAATACATGAATTTCAAATTCGAATTATATATATTATATATATACAATAAAAGAAAAACCTACCTTGAAAAAGAAAAAAAGTGAAATGGGGAAAAGAAAAATTCCTAACAAGCCTCTTTTACTACAAAGTTCAATCACACGTTACCACTTTCAGCGATCTGTTTAACTCTCAACGTCAGATATATTAGTACGAGTGTTCCCATGCTCGACCTAAAATGAAAAGGTACCAGAGTTCATAAGGCAGAAAAAGAGAAAAAATTACTGATGACATGCCTATTCTAAATTATCATAAGATTCTTAGAACCTTAAAATGCGCAGCAGAATTTGCAATTTATGAAACTTTAGAGCCCGTTTACTAACTCAAAATTTTCTCCAATTGTCTGGAGAATTGGAGAACAAAAACAGACATTTTGCTAGCCTAATACCATTTCTGGTACAATCAAAAGAAAAAACAGAAAAATAAGCATTCAAAAAATGGAAAGAATTAATAAGTAAAATCGCCTGCACTTACAGAATTGAGAATAGGAGAACCACTCTTCTTGAATTGAAAGAGGCTGAGCGCTTGTATTTCCTCAATCTATTGGTAGACATATCATAGGATTTCTCGTTCACGCATTTATCTGGTATAGCAAGCAACTAAAACTTGTAAGCTCATCCAAATATGCCAGAAAACTCAGGTAGATGAAGTATCTCACTCATAGATAATGCGTAGAAATGAACATAATGCGTAGAAACGAACGGCTTTATATACATAGTGATGCAAAAGAATAACAAAATGCCTAGAGGTTAAAATTGGTAGTAACGAAGATTATAAATTGTGAGAAATTGCATCTACCTCTAGAAATTAACTTGGGTAACTCAAGGCTGTTATTCATTAACAGTTGCATGAACTTTCCTCCCAGTTGTGACGCAATTTCTCTCTGCAGTATTCTCTGAAACACAATTAGTTCATAAAAAATCTAACACTCCAAAGCAAGAGCAATTTCGTCGGCAGTAAAACCACAAGAAGACTTACTACTAAAGAATCTTCCATCTTTAAACTACCAGCAGTTTCTTCGGCACATTTAGCTTTAGGAACCTCCAACTTCCCTTTCTCAATATCCACATCCACATATGTCGCATAATTTTCCGTATTGTTCATCTTCTGTTTGATGTGGCTTCGGCAACTTGATTGGGTATCAACGGGCACTGTATTTTTTGCTAGATTTGGATCTAAAAGCGGCTCAAATTGTTGGTCGATGGTTCCTCCATCAGGAAACACAGTAACAATTGGGGCCTCTTGGCTATACTGTAATGAAAAAAGAGTCTTTTTAGTTTCCCACTTTTTCACCCCTTTAAGCACACTATTTGAAGTGATGTGAGGAAATATATGAAGATACAGGGCATAACTACAGGGAAAGAGTGCAAGAAAATTAAGATAATAGTAATCACAATAACTACAGAGAAAGGATAACAAAAGCAATGTTACTGTCCGGGAACTCGGGAAGAAGCACATAGAGGATAAAACTGTAGCATAACTGAGAATCTAAAGTAATCAAATTGGGGGCTTAAATTTTCACATACAGCAACGATAACTCTCAAATTGGCCATCAGTTTTAACTTTTAAGAGTACATAAGAACACAGAATGGCCATATAGGTATAAAAAATAATATGCATAAAAAACCTGTAAATAATAATCAAATATCTGCTTTTGATGGTCCCAAACTGTTGTAAAGACAAGAAATCACACTCTCTTGCATGGTTGCAGAATTGCATCGAGATTGATCTAACTTCAGACCAACTTCTAACGTTATACAGACAAAACCAACGGCTACTATAATACAAAAGTATTGAAAGTTGAAACCCAGTGACAAAGAAGTATGATTCTATCTTGACTAGACAGGTACAAGTGGTGATAACAAAAATCCGGATTAAAAAAAAAATTATAAATTTCAAACAATAGTCCAAAAAACACTCGATGCTGAAAATGACTTGAGAATTTTGTTTTGGCATTGTTCATTCCATCAAATATGGTTTAGAAATGGTAAGAATTTGTCCAGTTTTGTATACATACATAAATATACACATACATATTAAATACATTATTCTACTTGCAGTAAGAATTTATTTAACTACCTAAGCTTTTTCATTGCAGTAAAAACAATGAATTTGGGAAAGCATCATACACCGAATCATCCATTGCCTACATGTTTGGTAAAACATGGGACTGTACAACCTAAAATTTAGCTTATTTAGTAAGAACATTCAAGTAGCTTGGTGTCAATTATTGATTAATAACAATTCATAATCATAACTCATTAACCATAATAAACTTTACAAAATTAACCATTCCTCATTTACTTCAACTACAATTTAAAATTTTGAAAAAAAAAAAAACAGAAAGCATAACAAAACAAGAAGAATCTAATCAAATTATAAAGCAAGTAATCTAGGGCAGTGAATTAGCTGTTCAGTAATTGTTCCATCCACTGGAACCTCTATCTCTTCCTTATTTCCACTTGGGAGAGAAGAAGGAGAGATCAAAGTTGAGTACAGGCGTATAGCACACACGCCAGAAAAATTCGTATGTTGATCATTGATATACAGATACACAGACACGCAGCAACATATATTCCGATACAAACGGAAAAAAAAATGATCGAAAAGCAGCAAACAAACAGCAAAAAGGTAGGTGAAATAACATAAGAAATCCCCCAAGGTAACAGCTGAAATCCGTTCAGAAAATACCAAATCGCAGTCCAGAAGGAACCTCACCTCCTCTGCGCTTGAATCCACCGCCATTGAGGGGAGAGAGACTGAGATTAGAACTGAAAAGAGAAAGTTCTATAGGCTGAACCGCATTGCAGCTTCTCTGCGTTTGTGTGTACGTGTATCTGAATGCATATGAGCTCCAATGTATATGTAAATATAGAGAGCGGGGGGGTGGGGGTGGGGATTGGGGTCAAGTAGGCAAGAACGTTAGAGAGGGGAGGGGGCCATAAAAGCAAGCTCCCCATTACGACAAACATTTCAGCATCTTTTACTCTTCCGGACGATTATGCTTTTCTGACTTGCTTTCTTTATATCAATTCTCTTCTTCTTCTACTACTTTTTTTTTTTTTTTTTTTTAAATATGTATATTGCACGGTTCACCCTTGTCCCCTCTCCAGATACGACGGCCGGTTCATATATAGTAATATAGTAGTAATATAGTATATACTCCCATCTTTTTTGACAATAGATGATTAATGTATTTTGTTTTAACTAAAATTATTTTAAATTAAGTATATAGGTACTTTGATAGGCATCATGGAGGTAAGTAATGAATTTTTCTGTAAACGTCTCATGTCACATGAAAATTAAAATTATTATTATTTTTTTAAATTATTTAATAAATATAATATAATATTAAATTTTTATTATTTATTTTTAAAAAAAAAAACTCTTATAGAGGAAGCAAATTGCATCCTCCATTTTTAATGTTATATGATTTAATTGTACAAAATTATTTGTTTGATAGTCCAATTGTATGAATGTAAGCAAAAATTTGGTCGCATATTTGACACTTTTTTATTTTTGTTTTAAACATGAAATAAAAATGATTAAAAATTTTTAAGTCTACAAAGTTGAGTATATTAGAAGTACTTTGCGCATTATAATTGATTGATTATTTAATTAAAATATTTACTCAATTAATCTTTTTTCTTTTTTTTTTGAATGTTACTGGCCCTATTACATTGTAGTATATGTTATGTGTACTATTTTTTGTCAAACTAACTATTTCTTGTTTTTTAATTTAATTTTTGTATATAATAATATTTTTGATGTAGTTTCTAAATATATAAATTTTATATACTAAATTATTAATATTAAACTTAACATTATGAAAAAATTGATTAAAATTAACTTCAGTTAAGTCTCCTTAATCGAATCATGCAAACACCTAAAATGAGACGGAATGAATATTATTTTATCATCAATTGGTCATAATTTATCCAAATGGAATGTCACACGTTTGACATTCCAATCGGATGTTTTTTGAATACAGTGAAAGGGTGAAACCACGGGGAACCAAACAAAACTAGTCACCGCGGACAAAAGGAACTCCTAGACTATCCTTGCGGACATACCTCGCGAGCTCGTCATTGGGGCAAAAATACAAAATGGCCAACTTGTTGTCCGGAGCACAATTCTTCGCAAGTCAATCCGCCTCTTGATTTTGTTCCCGCAAAATGTGATAGCATTTGACATTCTAGTTCTTCATGATCCAAGCCTTACACTCGGTAATAACATTACACAGGGTTCCACCACCTTTGGCGTCAAAAAGAGGGTCATTAATATACTTGACCACGTTGACAGAATCACACTGGATCACGACATTAGAGGGTCATTAATATACTTGCCCAATCAAGGATGTTGGTATATCATATTGTTAAGCATATACTAAAGTAACTTGTATGCATTTACGAAAGGGTCTCACGATAACAAATAGATAAACTTGAACATTAGCATGTATATATATCAGTGGCGGAGTCAGGATTTACGTTGAGTGGAGGCGAAAAAGCAAAGGTAAAATGAATTAAAAAATGTTCAAATACAAAATACAAAATATCAAATACCAATAAAATTGTTAAACAACTATATGCTAACTAACATTAACTAATTATTCTAAATAAACAACTATGCCAACTAACATTAATGAATTTTCAGCAAATGTATTCGTCCAAATGCATAAGTAGTGAAAAACAAATGACCATAAAACAACTACATCAGTACAAATGGAATGCATAAGAAGTGAAAAACAAATGACAACTAAATGGAATGCATAAGCAGTGAAAAACAAATGGCAACTAAACACAGTTACAGCAACAATTTTCGAACTGTTGACCTTTCATTCATATATTAGGAAGTAAAGCAATGGCCTTACCATCCAAGTCAACCCAAACTTGTTTAAGTCTTGGTATATTTAGTATATATACAATTTATATGGGGTAGGGCAGTGGGGCAGCTGCCCCCACTGCCCCCATTGTGGCTCCGACACTTTTATATATATATATATATATATATATATATATATATATATATATATATATATATATATAAGTTCAAATATGGTTGGTGTGCACAGGTGCGATTGTGCGGTTAAATCTGAACCATTGATCTTGCTTAAATCAACGTCCAAAATTACCAAAAAAAAGTTCAAAAAAAAAACGTGGTGACAATTTGATAATTTTTGCATCTAGGCCAAATTTAAGGTGCGTGTGGGTTTTGTGCTTAAAACCTCCGCACGAGAAGCCATCCCTGCACGCGCGCGCACACACACACACACACACACACACACACACACACACACACACACACACACACACACACACACACACACATATATATATATATATATATATATATATATATATAAAATGCCGGTGAAGTAACTTCTTTTTTTTTTGAACACTACTGACTCTATTACAATGTAGTATCTATTCGTAATTAAGTTTAAACTCACAATCTCCCCTATAAGGGAGTAACTTGGTGACATTGGACCACAAGATACTTGATGAAGTAACTTTATTTAGTAAACTTTAATATTAAAAAAAAAAAAAACAAAAAGAATCATTTCGTGGTTGAAATATGAAAAGTAACAACAGGTAATCAACGAGGTTAAGGATAATTTTATATTTCAAAGATACAATTATACATATGTGTATGTGTTTAAATATTTTAAATACAATTGATTTGGTTAGTAAAGGGATGAGATGACAGTCATTAGAGGAAAGAAAAAGTGAACGTTGGTGGGGACAGTGTTTATATTATAGACCGCGGTGCATAATCGATTATGCACCGCGGCCCATATACGGCGCCGTTTCTTTAAGTAAAGAAAAGGCGCCGCCGTTAGAGTTAACGGAGTCCATTTGTTTGGTGTATTAAATACCAACTAACACTACAGTATATCCAAATCGGCACTGCAGTTATATCAAAATGATACTGTAGTTATAGTGAAATGAAACTGCAGTATATATAAACTGAAACTGAATAACATTTCACATATTTGAGTGTATATTGTACAATGAAGCTGTAATTATATCAAAATAATCATGTAGTTGTGTTTTAATAAAACTATAGTGTATATAAAATAAAATTAAATAACATTTTCACATATTTGAGTCTATAAATATCGAATGAAACTATAGTTATATCGAAATGAAACTATAGTTGTGTTCAACTGAAACTGCAGTGTATACAAAATGACACGGAATAACAAGTTACTTTTTGTAAAAGGGTGCGAAACGGCGGAAATAAACACTGTTAATTTTCATTTAAAAAAAAAGACGCGCGGTGCATAATCGATTATGCACCGCGGTGCATAATATAATTTGCCTGGTGGGGAGGGGTAGGCTTGCGTTAGGGGCTTGTCCAGTTGTGGCATAGCAACATGCACGTGAAGTTTGATGGGCGTGCACTGTGCACTATATTGGAGTCACGGGTTTGCCAAACTGTTACCTTGCCACTCTAATTTCCAATCCCTACATTGCTCTTCCGCCGTTGATTCTTCTTAACAACTTCAAACCCTGGAATGGCCATGGCCCCCTTCCTTTTCACATTTCACATCTCAAACAATACCATATTGGGGTAATTTAGCCAAGATAGTTACGGATATAAATGATCACGAATTTGAATCTCAGTCATTTTTATTTGAGTCGAGTAACAATGAACAATATATGTTAATTTATCTCTTTGTGGTCTTAACCGACTCAGATCACATGCGAAATTTATCCAGTACACATCTTTAGTGACTGCGGATTTCTTTAGTCACATTAATTTAGCAATAGAGCCTAGGTTTTAAACAAATATATAATCCATGAATTTTCATTTCGTAATTGTCGTCTCGTGCTTATTAAAAAAATTTACTGCCGTTTGAATTTCGTCTCTGCATCTCATGGTCTGCACTATTCTCTGTTCACGTCAGATCTGTTCAGACTGATCATACCCAACAATTTTTTATTTTATTTTATTTTATTTTTTTGTTGAAATTTCTGCCGGCACTTTCGCGATTGTTAATCCCGTGCTATGATTGTGTTACAGTAACTAAAAAAGAGAAAAAGATGAAAAGCTTTTTTTTTTTTTTTAAAGATCCAAAAAAAAAAAAAAAGAAAAAAAAAGGTACAAGACGTGAATACTTCTTGAGGAGGAGAATGAGAATTCATGTGAGTGTAAGTTATGAAGAGTTTTTCAAGAACTATCCTCTCTCTCTCTCTCAAAAAAAAAAAAAAAAAAAAAAAAAAAAAGAAAGAGTTTTTCAAGAACTATGAGATCTTAATTTTTGGGATAGTTGTTAGTTGTTACCTACTTTAAGATTTTCAAGATTTGTGAATAGTTATTTGTAGAAGCACCATGTGGCCATGTGGGTTCTTGAAATAAGGTTCTCAATTGGCCTTTTAGGCCTTACAATGATGTTATAAGGTGTCTTTGGCATAAATATTGGAATCAAAATAGTAATAGAAATCAAATACTTGATAATAGTAATGTGTTTAAACAGAATGAGTCTCTCACAGACACACACACACACATACACACACACACACACACACACACACACACATATATATATATATATATATATATATATATATATATTTCATATTTAATGCATGAATAATGACTTTTTTTTTTAATTTTTTTCTCCATATATATACTCTGTAATTAAAAAAAAAAATTAAATACAATAGTTGAGTAACAAAAGTAGACTAATAAACACGACAATGTGTATCAGAACCTATAATAGTGTATAAAAGTTCACAATCAAAAACACACAAAGTTTTATCTTACTAACTTCTATTTAGAGTATATTGTATTATATGTCTTTTATTTTTTATGGAACGATCAATAATTAATAATAATAAATTAAAAAATTTCTGGTCCTTTTTTTTTAAAAATAATAATAAATACGAGAATATATTCTACCTAACAAATCCTTCAGCATTTTCCTTAGTTGGACGAAAGTGCACCTACTAATTTCAAATAATTAATATTTCAAAAAAAATCAAATAATTAAAGAGAATTTTGGCTTGCTCCACCAAGTCTAAGATTTGGTACAAAACAGAGATCCAACCTGAGTAACCCAGCTTATGTCATTGTGAGAGACCCAGCTTATGTCATTGTGCCTGTCAAGTTTTCTGTATAAATAACCCTCTGGCTCTCTCTCAAACTTGACAGTGTAAGCTAACCAAGTTTTTCAAGAACTTGCCTGTCAAGTTTTCTGTATAAATAACCCTTTTTAATTAATTAAATAAAATTTCCCCTTCTGTTGGCATATGTATTTTATATAAATAACCCTTTTTACTATAAATAACCCTTTTTAATTAATTGGAGATTGGAGATTAATACTATATTAACCAATAATATACTATATCTCTTCCCCTCCCCATTCCCCAACCCCCGGCAAAATTTAAATAATACTCAATATTATAGTGTGTGGAGAAAAGACTTTACGGATGAAATTATGAAATGTGCATTTTATGTTCATGCATTCATATTTTTACGTTTATTTACAAATATGATGGTCAGTCATAGTTCAGTAAAGATTTTAAGTGGGTTTACTTGGACATACTGTGCTATGTATGAATGATCTTTTATATTTCATAGGAGATCTTGAGCCTTTGTTTATAGTTCTCGCATTAACCTGTTTTAAATTAGGTGGAGTTGCATCACAATCTCATGTTTCTATGATCACTCAGTATTTACTTGAATGATGCTACAAATCTCCATCAAAGTGCTATTTTTTTTTTAATAATTGAAAGGGGCGAGAGTACAGAGCTTTAATCATATATAAATACTAGTTTTTTTACGCGCTTTGTGCGAATGGGATAATGCCCAATAATTATTTTTAAATAAGTATTCCAAAGTATATCAATGCAATATTATATATGAGATATTCATGCATAGGTAAATAAATGTTGAATTTGTTTATTTAAACTGGTATTTTAAAGTATATAAATTCAATATAATATATGAGAGATTGATTATAATTGTCACTATAATAAATGTTTGCAACTTTGTAATAACGCTAGTCTAAACACTTAGTCTTAAAGCGATAGTCTAAATAAATACTACTTTTGGTTTAAATTTTTCTAATTCTTCTTAATTCTTTTTTGGGTAGCATTGTTATTGTTTTCATCTTCAGTACATGTTTTTTTTTTTTTTTTTAATTGATAGTGTGTCATGTGCAATTAGGTTACTGGTAGCAGCATAGAGGGATTTATCATGTAATGAGATTATGGTGTATGAAGTTTTAGATTTGCCTTGCTGTGTATATGATTGAGATTTTAGTTGTAATATGAACTCTTTAGTGTATAAACACCTATTGATATTTAGTAGTGGTAGTTTTTTTACATGTTTCCATGTGTTGTGAGATGTGTGTCGTAGTTTATCATGTGAAAGGATTGAACAAAATATTAATATTTATTATATTTGTATAAAATACTTGGTAAATAAATAAATAAATAAATAAATATATATATATATATATATATATATATATATATATATATAAAACATGTTTTGTATTATAACTTTGATATTTAATTACAAGATAATGTAAAAAAGAAGACAATGAACAATGTAGTGAATATAATAAATTAATAAATTTGAAGGTAAGGAATCTTTGAATTGTAGAAAATAAAGATAATATAACCAATGAAATTATATTTCTTTTAAATTTTTTTATAATGAATATTGTTTTTTAAATAAAGCATAATAGACATCTAATTTTAAATTAATTAAATGCATATGTATTATTTTTTGTTGTAGCTACTAATTTATTTAATTAATAAGAATAATAAAATTTCGTACATACTTTTCTTCAAAAATAATGAAATCAATGATTTTTTTTTTTTAATTTCTATTCCTTGTTGAGACAAATTGTTTTGAGAGTTTGTCCATAACAATTGCTACAATTTCTGTCAATAGAGGATGATAATAAATAATTCAAAATATATGGTTACAATAGATATTAATATAATGATATAGTAAAAATTAACTTACAAATTTCTTTAGAAGTTTTCATGCATTGATAAAATTTTGATGTGTAAACTTGTTCAATTGAAGCTAGTAGGACGTTAACATTTTCAATTATTTGGAAAATGATCCTACCGTTTTAGAGTCAATGTGTAATTGTATTTATGATCAACAACTTTGTAGTTAGGCCGCACAGGTCTGACAATGATGTAAGAACAATTTTGTCCGATAAAAAAAAATAACAGTATAATATTAGTAAAGTAATGTACAATTGTACCATTATAAAAAAAATACAAAAAATATTAATACCATAATAGCCTAAATCATTCCAATAATGCAAAAGCATAATTAAAATATAAAGTTTTGTTCTAAATAATCAGAAGAAGATTAATTAAACAAAAAAAAAAACTTAACCTAAATTTGTTTTTTTTTTTAATAAAAAATTCAAGAAAATCAAATGATTTTAATTATTTGACCAAAGTTTATGTTAAATTTTATATTATATATTTTTTAATACATTTTAACATATTCATAATATATGTTTAACAATTATGCCAACTATACTTGGGATGAGGTTCGAACCTAAGACCTTATATAAATTAAGAGTATGTTAAGAATAATAAATAGTTAACGGAATATTCCGTTACTAAAGTTTAAACTAACGGAATTTAGGGTTATTTAAGGGAAGAAAATAATATAATAGAGGGTAAATAAGGAAAATCATTAAAAGATACTAAAATCAAAATAATATGAACCATTCATTTTAAGAAACAATTAGTACCGACATTTTTTTTGTTCCAGTTAAAGGCCTAACATTATTCGCTCTTATTAGATTTGTATTTGTATGTATATGTATTGTATATATATATATATATATATATATATAGAGAGAGAGAGAGAGAGAGAGAGAGAGAGAGATTTTTCGCCCCTATAGAAAAGATCATTAGAGAATCCATAACACCAATTGTTATGGAAATACCATTTAGTTGGCCTATGTCTGTTTGAACAACTTTAGTTAATCCTATTTTTCTTTGATAAATAAATAATCTGATCTTTATAAGCCTTCTCAACCGAATAGTCCGATTAGTAAAATATGCACTTTTATTTGTTAAAAAAATTAAGAAATTGCTATTGCATAAATTTGGACAGTTTAACCCCTTAGTTTGGATTGGATCAGATGATTCATGTTATTTCATATATGGAAGACCAAAAATTTTCATTACAATTTTGACTTATTTGATCATTATTAACTATTTGACTTGATTAAACAATCAATATAAATATCTGATTAATTAGCTTTTTGTTAAAAAAAACTGGTCAAAATAACTACTCTTTCAATCAATTTTTTAAGAAAATCATCTTGTATGTAATCAGCTATCAGCAAACAACCAATTTATCAAACATCTTTCTACAATCAACTAATGCTATCAATTAGTCAAACTCACTAACTCAATCAGCTAACAACTATTTACCAATCACCTCTATTATCTATTTGCCCCTTTGGGACTTGGACAGAGACTAAATATAAGCTGATATTTTGACACCTATATTCTTCCATAATAAACTGAAAAATGCCTGATTGATTGTACATATATTTCATTTACAAGAGATGGATAAGAATTAACAAGCTAAGTGTGCATTCAAAATTTCCATTGCCCTCTCCTCTCCCTCCTTGAGCAAATAAATACCTTTCATGGCAACAACAGTATTAGATGACCAAAGTCCTTCAATGATTTGTTGGAACAAGTTAAGTTATACCATGCTGCAGTAAAATCAGTATAAACATGTAAGAATTTTTGTTTGTTGACTGTCATGCCAATGTCAACAAGATGGAGTGCTACCTAAGTCAATTAACCTAGCAAAGCAATTTCAATATGAGTTCTACTACACGTACTCCCAAATCTTACTCCCTCAAATTTACTCCTGATGTGGCGGGCACTAATAGGCTATTTTTCTCATGTGGGCCCCTGTAAATGTGTCTACATCAAAAATTTAAGTGTGGGAGTAAAAGTTGAGAATATAGAATGTGAATACATATAGTATTTTCCTTTCGATATAGAAATAGATGGAAGGCATGAAACCTTGAATAAAGCAAGAGCAACTTCTTTTCTCATCAGTCCTCAAATTCTCCTCCTATTGTCTACTCGCACTTTCTTGGAAGCTCCGGCTTCTGAATGTTCTGCACTGGATTGTATCTAAGGAAAATGGACAAATTAATTTGCCACAATGAAGTCCATTTGAACCTCTAAATCAAGTAACAGTAAAATTCTCATTTACCTTGTTTAGTTTTTCCCTAACCAACCGAACAGTTTGATTCATAGATTCTGATGCAAAATATTCCTGTGATTGAAAAAAAAAAAAAAAAAAAAAAAACCTATTGTCAGTCAAGAAGAGGAAAACGCTTCAAAAACATAAATTTCTCTTGCAAATGTCACCGAAAACAATTTGCAAGGAATTTCATTTCATGATATTCATTTATAGCTAACCTTGTTAGAAGATATTACAATCATAGACGAATCTCTATTCTTAGCAGTCTCCTGTGGCTTCATGAACGGACTAAAGAAAACAAATCAATTTTATGTCTTAGTACATAGATCATATGAAAAAACTATCCACATCATCTTGCAAATAAAATTACCTTTTATTAATTTCTAGTGGTTTAGAGGCTATATGTGAAGAGGTTGAAGTGATTATAGATTCGCTGACAGCATCAGGCCCATGGATTGCACAACTTTTGGATCTTTGAGCTGAAACATCATAACATCAGGCCTCAGGAGTCAGGACAGAAGGGAAAGAACAAGCAACCGATACAAAGTACAAGTCAATGGCGTACAGTTTACTCGTGTCAGAACTTCCCTTCTCCTCCCCTCTAACTTATCCTTTGTATCAGACAGGCTCTCATATTGAGGTGCATAAGAGACCCGGAGCCTGTTCCCTAGGAATACAAACTCATCCAATTTCCTCTTGGCAAACCTATATCAGAAAACATTTAGGATGTGTTTGGTTCGCACATGGGAATTGGAATCGGAATGGGTATCAAATACTTGGTAATGGGTTTTGGTGAAAGTATTTTGCATGTTTGATAGTAGGGTGAAATGAGAATGATTAGGCTAAGAATAAATAATGGGATGAAACCCTTATAAAATAAGGGAATGGGGTATTTCAAACCCATAGTAGTGTTTTAAAAACCAGTCAACCAAACAATAACAATCACTTTCATACCCATACTTGAGTGCTAAACCTGCCAACCAAACACACCCTTATATTTCTCATGCTGCACCCCGTATACATGCCAAGATGGTATACTGCTATAACACTATTTAGATGCTACATGTGAAATCACCGAGAATAACCAATCACTTAGAAGATACAGTTATACAGTACTGAAGTGTGTATTTGTGCCCTTATTAAGGTAATGCTATATTCTTGTTCATATAAATGGTATCTATTCTGATTTCTCATAAACTACACGTCTAATTATGCGTTGAACTCTTACTTGTACCTTATACAAATGGTGAGATATGAATGAAAAGACCCAAATAAAAACAGAGTAACCAGTGATTTATGATTTTTAAAGTTAAATTATACTCAATAGTTTACTACCAATATCATGAGGCCTCACAAATTAAGAAAGAGTATTTCTAGCGTCAAAGGTCATGAAGAAATCAAAGAAACTCAAAAATCAATAAATGCATAACAGTCCGTTGTCTTCAAGAAATTGATAGTTTCTTGTGCAACGACCACGAATGACTACTTTGTATCCCATGCTTTCTATACCATACAATGAATACTGCGCATTAGGATACCATAGGCTAGGATGACCTCATTTAATATTTTTTTTCTTTAGCCATTTCTCAAAGAACAATCCTCCACTTCTATAAGAGATGCAATGGCTCTAAGTGGTCAGATCTCCTTGAACAGCAAGTCTAAATATAATATAAGAAATATTTACTGTCATTTTCTAAACTAACAGAGTCATATAACAGATTCCATTAATACATGAAGTACAAATCCAAGGCACTTTTCACCATTTTATTCATTTTGAATGTTCCTTTGGTTCTTCATAAATCAGTTCTAAAACACTCAAAACCTAGGTAGTAAAAATATAGAAAGCTAATGTCACCTGGCATTGTCTATCCTTTGGAACTTGATCCAGTAGACATCAGTAAATGGTTCGCAGTCTTCCGCATCCATGGGTTTACATCTGAGCAAAACAATAGAAAAACCAAAAAAAAAAAAAAAAAAAAAAAAAAAAAAAAAGAATGTTCTTCTCAGTACAAAAGGAATACGAAAAGATTAACATTATAAATAGTGTTTGAAAGATAAGAATTCCAATTAGAGTTTCACAATCAGGAATTCCCTCAGACTAATATTGAAGCAAAAAAAAAAAAAAAAGGGGGAATAAAATGAAAAGGATTTGAGAGAAACCCAAGATTTAAGAAGTCTAAGATTGCATTTTAGGCTACTTGAATAGAGCCTTAAAAAATGAAAAGAAAAAAGACTGACTATTGAAGCAAGAATACAGTACTCTTCAACTTCTCCATAAGTGGTGAACAATTTTGCGAGATCATCACCACAACCCAGGGCTGGAACATTCCTCACAATCAAAAATCTGCAACAGATACCAACAAATTCAATTAAAATAAGAAAACGGCCTAAAATGGTTAATCAAACAAAATTTTGTAGAGAGAACGCACTTTGATTCATCGCAAACAGTGTAAACACGCACTGCAGGAGTCTCGTCTCTGTATCGAGGCATTCCTTGGCTGGTTCACATAGGGGGCGGACTACGGAGAAGGCTTGATAATTGATAATAATATTGTAAATTCATTAAAATGTATTATTAATGACAATTGATTATTATAATATTGTAAATTCATTTTTAGGCCTGTGCAGTCGGACGGATCGGATTGCGGAATGAGACCTCCGGTCGGATTTCGGATTTTCATTTTGACCACCCTAACCGTTTATTTTTGTTGACTAATCCGATCGGTTATTTTTATTTTCGGATCGGTCAGATATCCGTGTTGTAATTCGGATTTATCAGAATGAAAAAAACTTAAAATCAAATATTCTATTCATGGATTTAAATGGAACACCTAAGTGGCTAAGTACCTAACTAATGAACTACTTAAGTACTAAAAGCCACTAACTAGTAATTACTAACTACTTAACAGCAAAAATAAGTAAATAACATAAGTAAACTTATACAAATTAGCTTACATATAATCAGCAGATTAGCTTACAAGTTACAAGTTACAAAATTAAAACTTGTAATGAGAATTTTAATTGTTCATAGCAAGCAGGCAAGTTCCAACAGCATCACTGCATCAGTCTCCAACTCTCCAATTAATCAGCACATCATCATTCAAGTTAGGATTGGGGGCACACTACTCAATGAGTATGGCATAAACACCACACTTCAAAGGCAACATACCAAACCCAATTCTATATATTCAGAGAACATGGTGGAAGCATCATCATAGCACAATAATGAACATTTATACAGGCATTCAGCTTTCATGTTTCAGGCATTGAGCAAAAGAAAGCCAGATATCCAAAACTCCAAAAGCAATATATGAATATATGATTAATATAATATAGAGTACTCTATGTCTATTCTTCTTCCTGATAAGTGAACACATAAAAACACAATAAGTTCAAAACATTTGTAGTTAGTTAGAATTGACACAAATAACACAATCACACAAACTGAAACTGTAAAAGACTAAAAGAGTGCTCAGATAGCTATTTTTTCCATATCAAGTTAGGATTGGGGGCACACTACTCAATGAGTATGGCATAAACACCACACTTCAAAGGCAACATACCAAACCCAATTCTATATATTCAGAGTACATGGTGGAAGCATCATCATAGCACAATAATGAACATTTATACAGGTATAACTTATAAGTATAGTGAGTCAGAAGTCAGAAGTCACATTTAGACATTTAGTCAGTACTTATACTGATACCTGAGCTCAATGGCAGCAACATTTAAAATGTTACCTAGCCATGAACACTTTCCAGTTTTCAGTTCCAACTTCCCAGCCTCACGAGGGACATTGATTTGAATCATTGATACACATACATGATACACTGATACAGAGGCAATGAGGCATAAATTTATCATGAAATCAAATAAGTAAATAAGTAATCACAAATCAAATAAGTAAATAAGTAAACATACAACAATTGTAGGCATTCCAGTTCCAGTGCTGGATGTGCAGCACAACTCTGCAGTACAAAAACAAAATGGAAATTAAAACTTAAACAATTAAACAGATCATTGCTGGAAGTTAGAAGTATATACCTTTCTCAATCCTTTCAACATCTTCAATATTTTCTTCAATTGAGATTGGTTGGTTGCTTAACCTTAGCCAATCCTGTGCACACACCAATGCCTCAACAATTCTAGGAGTTAGGGAACTCCTAAAGGCATCAAGTACCCTTCCACTTGTACTGAATGCTGATTCAGAAGCAACAGTTGATATTGGAACAGCTAGAATATCCCTTGCCATTTTAGATAAGACAGGGAACCTTTCAGATTGTTGCTTCCACCATCTTAGAAGGTCAAATGAATCATCCTCATCCACAATAACCTCAGAGAGATACACTTCCAACTCAGTTTTTTTCCTAGACAAATCCCCACTCACCAATTTTTGCTTCTTAATCTGAGATTTCAGTAATGATTGAGGTCTCCCAACAGAAACTGAATCAGATATTGTTATTGAGGGAGAAAATTTTTCAAATTGTTCAACACACTGGACAGGGAAGCATGCAACATAATCTTCAAACAACTCCTTAAGGCCAACAATCACCTTATCAAACATTGTTTTACCCTTGTCCTCACCATATAACTGGTTAAACTGAATGGGCATATACTCAATTTTGTCCCTGGGGTCTAAGATATTTGCATAGAATATCAAAAAATTCATTTTTTCAGGCTCACCCCAATACTTATCAAATTTTGCCCTCATATTTTTACCCATTAGTTTAACACTATCTTCTGTAGCTTCCCCCATATTTTTCAACAAGCAAGACAAATCAGAAATCTCAGAGAAGAAGGTATTAGAAGTCACATACAATGATCCAGAAATCCTAACAGTCATTTCATAAAAAGATTTTAGAATCATAACCAAAGATTGAATTGATTCCCAATCTAAGAAATCAGGTACACTTCCACCCAAATCAGATTTAAATGAACTGTCATGATCATCATAGGCTTCAAATACCTTCTGAAACAGTAATGTAGTATTAAGCATCATATATGTGGAATTCCACCTTGTAGGGACATCTAGACACAGAGAATTCTTAGCTTCCACCCCAATTAGATCAGCTAGTGATTTAAACTTCTGCAATCTAGCAGGTGAGCTCCTCACATACCTAACAGCATCCTTGACTTTCTTAACAGAACTGTCACATTCTTTCAACCCATCCTGTACCACCAAGTTAAGAATGTGAGCAATGCACCTCATGTGCAAATACTTACACCTAACAGCAGTACAACCCCAAGAGCCCAACTTCTTCTTCAAGAATCCTAGGGCAGTATCATTGCTGGAAGCATTATCTACTGTCACACTAAACACTGATTTTAGACCCCAGTCCAAAAGGCAACTCTCTAAAGCCTTTGCAATACTTTCCCCCTTGTGGGAATATATAGGAACAAATGAAATAATCTTCTTTTGCAGCTTCCACTCACTATCAATGAAATGTGCAGTTATGCACATGTAGTTTATTCTCTGGACTGAGGTCCAAGTATCAGTTGTGATACTTACCCTCTGACTGCTAGTCCTAAAAAACTTCTTCAAGTTGACCCTCTCATCAGAAAATATCTTGAAAATGTCCCTACTGATAGTCCATCTTGAAGGGATTTTAAACCTAGGACAGCAAACTAAAACAAACTTTTTAAAACCCTGTCCTTCAACAATCCTAAAAGGAAGTTCATCTAAAATAATCATCTCAGCTAAGGCTCTCCTTATTAAGTCTTGATCAAACACCCAAGTACCCAACACCCCTTCAGTTCCTTCACTACTTTGAGTTCCAGCAGAAGAAGGTGCAGGTTGGAATGTGAGTAGGGACTGCCTTGTTTCCTTAGAGTGAGGATTTTTAAGGCAGTTTACCACATGAAGTCTGAGAGAAGAAGTCTCATGTTTCTTGCTCTCACAGCAATACACTTTTGCACAATATATACATTTTCCTTTGATGACAATGCCCTCACTGTCTTTGATCTTTTCAAAGTGATCCCAACATGGAGCCCTGGATTCAACCTCTTTCCTTTTCTTTGGAACAGGTGGAGGCAAAGGCTGCTGAAACTGAGGAGTAACAGTCTCTACAGCAGGTGCTTCCAACTCAGGTTGTGTTCCAGATACACCAGTAACAGTCTCTACACCACTAACACTTTCCATCTAAAAAGGGGAAAGTATCAGTGACACAGAATGGGAAATCACTCATTCAAAATCATCAACAGAGAATGGCCTTTGTCACATACACACATGTATCAATTAAAGTGTTAAACAGGCAGAATTCAGTGAATTGAACATTTCATCATGTATGCAGAATTGCACATAAATGACTTAAGGGTCACATATCCATAAACTTACAATTTCACATTTTCACAGTTACAACTTACAACTAAGTAACTAACAACTTACAAATTACAATTTACAATGAAATCCATAATCAGGCATTCAAGCTAAGTAGGTGTATGCTACTTTATATGCTCATCATTTATATGGATTTCAGTCACACACTCCCACATTTATATGGATTTCAGTCACACATGAGTACAAGACAGTGGACACACTCCCACATTTATATATGGCTTCCACACAAATACCATCATGCTTAACATTTATATGGATTTCAGTATTTAACACACAGTGGCAACTGGCAAGGGGCTAGGGTAGTATGGCTTCCACCACAGATTAGGTTACAAATTAGAAACCCTAATCAAACAATTCACAAATTCATACTCAAAGAACTACTGACATGCAATCCGGAACTTCTCAACGGATTTACAAGTATCATAGTCCAGTGAGTCCACAGATTAGGTTACAAATTAGAAACCCTAATCAAACTCACAAATTCACACTCAAAGAACTACTGACATGCAATCCGGAACTTCTCAACGGATTTACAAGTATCATAGTCCAGTGAGTCCACATATTTACGTTACAAATTAGAAACCCTAATCACACAATTCACAAATTCAAACTCAAAGGACTAGTGACATGCAATCCGGAACTTCTCAACGGATTTACAAGTATCACAGTCCACATAATCATAAAAATTAGAAACCCTAATCAAGAAGACAAATACACAATAATCTATAACGGAAATGTAAATAGGGTTTAGTAATTACTTCGTTTCTCAGATTTAATCCCTCGAGAACAAAGGGCTTCGAAAATCGAATCCACTATTCCACCGTTCCACAGTTCCACCAGACTCCGGTGACCGGACTAGGGTCTAGGGCTTCCACCGTTCCACCACTCCGCCAGTCGCTACTCTGAGTCTCCGAATAGGGCTTCCACCAGAGTCCAGACTAACAAACAGAGACTAAGACTCTCAGAGTCTTAGAGAGTAAGACACTAAGAGTCTAAGACTCAAAGTCTCAAAGACCAGAGCGAAAGAGAGAACGAGAGTCGAGAGATGAGAGATTGAGAGAAGTTTAGAAGAGTCAAGAGTGAACTGAGAGCTCGGCTGCGCTCAATGAAATGAGTGATATATATACATACACCAAACGACATCGTATTATATAGCGGAAAAAAACCCTAGGGTTTAGTCGGGTAATTGGACGGGT